TGTTGCTAAACATCCCTTGCTTACTCACAGATATAGCATTACACACATTTTTAACATAAAAAAAACGAAGATTAACTATGTCACCACTTGTAAGGTATGTTTTCAATGTCATCGGTTGTAGCTCCTTCACATGTATGTGTATGTGTGTGTGTGTGGGTGTGTGTGTGTGTCTGTAGCATTATTGCACGAAGGTTACATATAATTTTAACTTTTCTTATACTAGTCAATTTAGATATTTAAAACCTGAACCTGAAGGGTGACATCATCATCATCCATTACTATCATTGTTATTGATAATAATATTATTATTATTATTATTATTATTATTATTATTATTATTATTATTATTATTGTGACATCATCATCATTACTATCATTGTTAATGATAATAATAATAATATTATTTATTATTATTATAGTATCAATAACAATAATAATAATATCATCATCATCATAATCATTATTAATATTATTATTATATTGTTATAAATATATTACTATCATTGCATACTATTATTATTCTTATTATTATTATCATTATTATTATTATTCTTATTGATACTATTATTATTCTTATTATTATTTTCATTATTATTATTATTCTTATTGATACTATTATTATTATTATTATTATTATTATTATTATTATTATTGTTATTGATACTATTATTATTCTTATTATTAGTATTGTTATTGATACTATTATTATTCTTATTATTATTATTCTTATTATTATTATTATTATTATTATCATTACTACTACTATTATTATTATTATTATTATTATTATTATTATTATTATTATTATTATTATTATTATCCATAATGTTTTGCCTCACGCCGCGTTTCGCCTATTGATACAGTAAGTGATTTCATAGTAGCCTATCTAAATAACGTTATTTCGACTACCAATCCCTAATATATTGTGATCTAAAAGCACATTTTGGATCATTAAGCTATAAAAACGCTTCCCGTGAACCCCAAAAGGGAGTTTTATTCTGGGTCTTTGACCGAGGCTTCGTCAGCCCTTTGGCTCGCACCCCTCTGTCGGACATGTCGGACGCTTGTCGGCAAATCTGGTGCCACCGCTACCTTCATAGCTAATTGTGTGTAAGAAATTAGCAATTTGAATTTCTAATTTATGCATACCCCCAATTTAAAAAAATGGGCCTTCCTTTATCGATTGCTAATTCTAACTCATACAAACTCCCACAACATGATTCAATATTGGAAATATCATCTTTGAATGTAATCAAACAGAATAAGAAAAAAAATGTATCGCCGAAGATCTTGTCCAACAACTGACATACCCCCTCAGTTGGGTTGTTGTACTTGCTACCGGTAATAAAAAGCGAAAGGTCCACTGATTAATCTCAGATAAGATCCAAGTATCGAAATGCACGCCATCGTGTTGGGATTCAATATTTCGACATTAATTATGTCATCATCAGGTAATAAAAAGCCTTTCTGTTATTTGAAATTGCCCATTGTTGAACATATATTAGATGCAGTAAAATGATATTCTTTCATTTTTATGCTTATTTTCATCAGTGTTGACATGATGACGACACAGTCCAATCATCGCCTCATCAAACGGGTCACAGGCCTACATTATGTGAGTACTAAAAAAAACAACTTGGGTTTACAGTATATTTTTTATCATTGTACTTCAGACAGTTCATCAGCAGGAGCAGCGTCAGGAATACCCCGACGAGAGGTCTAAGCACCCCGACAGGGGGTCCACGCCCCCTCCCCTGTCGGGGAAGCCTACCCCCGGGAAAACAATTAAATTAAATGTTGTTATTAACAGATACAATTTTCTGTTTTCTGTTAATTATGAAATTCTTTATTTAAAAAGGATGTGGGGGAACTAATCCCCTGTCGGAGGTACCACTGCAACCCATGCCAAACCCATCAGGCACATTTGGCAATAGATCCACATGGCAGTATCTATACAGTAAAAATACATTAATTAAACAATAGGCCTAAACAACAATAAAGCATACGATATATATATGGAAAACAATAAACTATACAATGTAAAATACGATACATTGATGGGACCAGGTATTCTCTGGTGTTATACCTCAGAGAAGGACCAGATTAAGAAAATAAACTAATTTTTATTTATCTATGATGATTAACATAGCTATTATAATTAAAAATGCATTCTGGAACAAAAAGTCGATGTTCTTGAGAGTTAAGTTAGACTTACAATATAATTGCCATCCTTTTCTGTTCAATAAGATTGTAATACTGTACTAAACTAGACATCTCGATTAATGCATTTATTAGCTATTTTGACAAAAGGTTCAAATTGATTTTTCCTATAGGCTATTCAAACGTGTTACCATAGTAGTAAATTTCATTAAACATTAGAACACGGTATAACGGCCTTGTAGAAGAGTAAAATTATATTTTCATTTACACTAACATTTTTAAGTTTCCTTAAAAAGTATAAACGCTGATTATCTTTGCGAACTGTTACTTCAGCTTGGTCTGTCCAAGTAGGCCTAAGTTTTTTTCAATTATGGTTCCTAAATATTTATATTTATCGACTTGTTCAACTTCTGCTCCATTGATTACAAGGGGGACAATTTCGTTTTTTTTTTTATTCTAAAATCAATAATTAGGTCTTTAGTTTTCTCAATATTTAGCAATAGATAATTTTTTACAGCACCATTTTGCAAATCTGTCTACTTCCTCAAAATAACCAATATTTGTCTGACATGAAAGTCATAATAAAATGTTGATTTTGACATTCAGTTTATACAACAAAAACTATAAATGAGACTAAATACAATTGAAAGCACTGGAAAAGTCAATAAAAATAGACCTAATGAACGATTTGGGTGTGGTATATGTAAATATACACTTCATAATACATTGTTTACAATATAAATAGCCAAGTACTGCGTGCACGTTACGTTGGCAACAAATTTATTCGACCATATATAACATACATGGAATTAAAACAAATGAAGGTTACAGTAAACATTTTAAAAAATGGTCAGTGGACGTCACTGTTGCCCCTCTTCAAGACAGCAAAAACAAAATTAAACATGAAAATTAACAGAAAATAAACACTCGCTCCGTATAAACATTATTTATTATTATTATTATTATTATTATTATTATTATTATTATTATTATTATTATTATTATTATTATTATTATTATTTATTATTATTATTATTATTATTATTATTATTATTATTATTATTATTATTATCATGCATAAACGTATAAAAAGCGTTTTTGAATTACTGTAATATTCGAATCGCTAACCCTAACAATAATCTTTCTTTTTGAAACAGTATATTTCTGCAACTGCAATGAGGTTCATAATAGTGTACTCATGTGTGTTAACTCTAGTTGTGCTATACACGTTAAATTCAACTGAGAAATTAAAAATACAGAATTTTAATGTTGCATTATCAAGATCACGTGACATCATCACCACGCCAAGAGATTCAGCAGAATATAATGACTCATTTCCTGGCTATATAAGTCTTTCTACGAACAAGGTATTCACAAAACGTACTCAAGATTATCATTGTTACAGTAACTGTAGCTGATAACGATAACAGTTATTACATATGATTAAAACATATTTTCTATGATGTTGGTAATTAATACAATAAAATGAATGAATTTATATATATATATATATATATATATATATATATATATGTGTTATGTAATATACTCCTGTCTCTTATACACATCTAGTGAGTACTATATATATAGTATATGTATTGTGTATATATGTATACATAATTAATATACATATATAGTAATAGTGATAGTGATGACTATTTTATTTTACTACCGTTTACTCTCTATGATAAAATCTTAATATGAGTACTATATATATAGTATATGTATTGTGTATATATGTATACATAATTAATATACATATATAGTAATAGTGATAGTGATGAGTATTTTATTTTACTACCGTTTACTCTCTATGATAAAATCTTAATATGAGACCTAATAATTTAGAAGCATTTCTTTTTTCAATTATTTACTAATTTTTATTCTACGTGAATGAAATTTAGCATAATCAAAAATATTTTAAATGTTTATTATATATATACATATATATGTATATGTATATATGTATATATATATTATATATGTATATATAGGCCTAAATATATTATATATAGGCATATATATAGGCCTATATATTATATATGTATATAATTATGTATATAATAATAATAAATGTATTCTTATATAGCGCAAAATGCAAGAAACCTCTAAGCGCTTTACAATGAAAGGAAAAACCGGATCAAAATAAAAGAAAAATGATTACAACAGTGAGGGAAATCAGGTTAACATTATGAATGGACATTTATTTATTTATTTTAATTTATTTTATTTATTAATTTATTTATTTTATTTTTATTTATTTATTTTTTTTATTTATTTATTTTATTTTTTCTTTCAATTACCTTCTCATTCGATATATATGTATATATATGTATATATATATATATATATGTTTATATATGTATATATATGTATATATAGGCCTAATTCTGTTTTCGATGATTTACAATTTTTTATTCTACGCGAATAAAATTTTATTAAAAATGTATGATTATGCATCTAACATTCCCCTTCTATTTCGTTTGAATATATATACATATATACATGTACATATACATATACATATATACATATACATATATATACATATATATACATATATTTTATTCTACACGAATAAAATTTAGCCTATGCAAAGTATTAAAAATGTATGATTATGCATCTAACATTTAGTCTCTTGTGGTAAGCACAAACAAAAGTGAAACATATAATTTTTTCCAGTTTCTGCTACAATTCAACTAGGCATACAGCAAGTATTATTTGGGTAGGGGTGGGAAATATGGCGAGCCACTCAGACAGTAATTAATATTACTTTTTGGTAATCCTGCCGGCTCTTGGGGGAAACATGGATTACCTTTTCGAATTTTCTGAATATTTTACTATATTGTTAAAAAAAAAAAAATATGATAAAAAAAAAGGCGAAATAAATGAAATGAAAATGAAAAAACGAAATAGCACAGCGATTCCCATTCAGGTTCTGAACCACGCTGACCATTCTCGTCCGCCCATGCTTAAATACCCCCAGTTTGCACTGTTGACGTGCTGTGAAGACGGAATCTCTCAGCCCTGTTGCAAGTATTTCCTGGTTTATAAAGAGAATAGGCCTAATTTTTGCTGCATCTATCTCATCTCATTAATAATTACATCAAGCCAAAACCAAGATATGATACCAAAAATAATAACTAACATTAATCTAATATTTAAGTTATTCGAAGTTTAAACTTATTTTTATACACTAATTAGTGAACAAAACTTCACGTTACGCAGTTCAAGCACTTTAAGGGCATCACCCACAGTACAATCAGACCTATCAGGCAAAATATAAGGAAAAGATTTAGACAACAAATGACAATTAAAAATTGTATTATCAGTGCATGTTGTACATGGATCTGATTATTAATGAGTTTCAAGGAAAAATATACAAATGTGTTATGTAATATACTCTTATCATTTCAAGTAATGACAATGTATTAACTATTGGTATGTTTTAAATTTGCAAAATGGGAATTAATTTTTTGGGGTCTATTTTTATTAGGGAGAAGTGCTTGCAAATGGGTCAAGCTAGGGAAAACATTTTTAGCGAATAATATTCAAGCACGATATACGGCAGTAGCTTATGAGTGTTTGGAGAAGGTTTTCGGGAAGGAAAAAGAAGAATGTAACATTTTAGATTTCAATAATATATTGAAACAGTGCAGTAATTGAAAACTTATTTTCTGTCAAATTTAGCCTCTACGTATATCGTGCAAAGAATGCGCAATTGTGGCAAGTTCTGGTCATCTCATTAAATCGAACGCCGGAAGGGAAATTGACCAACAGCAGTGCGTAATACGAATGAACTTTGCACCTGTTGTAGGCTTTGAACGTGATGTTGGATCACGCACCACCATCCGGGTCGTGGGACATCGAAACTTCAAAATTCTACATAAACGGAAAATACTGAAAGAGGTTATTGAAAGCAACACAACCCGGACTGATATGATTATAATTAGTTGGATGAGCTCCACCAAAGAAGTGCCTAAGCTAACCAGTGAAGTATATCAGTTCGCCTTTCTTTTAGCCAATCTCTACCCAGAAGTCCCAATATACTCTGCTCAGCCTGATCGAATGATGCAAGCCGAAGAACTCTTCAAAAAAGAAACAGGCTTTACGGTGTACGTATACCGAGTTATGTATTTCATTCACAAACACACACACACACACACATATATA